AGAGTCGGGTGTTTTCATCTGTTCCTTTCTTTGTTTTGTTTTCTTTGGTTCTGGGTGGGGTATGCCATTTCTCTGGGGTCTCTGCCTTCCCTCCCTTCCTTCTCTTCTTCCCTTCATCCCAGGGTGATGCCTGGGGACGCAAATTCCTCAGTCATGTGAAGGGAGGCCTGGGCAGGAGGAGGAGAGATGTTGGGGATCTACTCTGGCGGTAGCATAAAGACTTTCCTGCGCCTCCCAAACCTCTCCTGCTGGCTGGAGAGACTCTCTGCAGCCAGCTGGTGGATTTTTCTCTGGGGGAGGCTGGGAGGGTCCTGTGGGGAGAGAGGGCAGCTGTTCCCATCCACCCTCGTCCTTTGTGGATTGGAGCAAGCACAGATGTGAGCCTGGGCTATTCAGTGAGCGTGTGAGTCAGCAGGCACAAACCGATGCGAGTGGTCACGTGTGGAGACATGTGTCACAGGCATTTTTTGGATGAGTGAATGTGCAAAAGCATCTCAGTATGCGTTTATTTTTTGTATACCTCTGTATTCAAAGAGTATTTTGGGGAAGCGAAATCCTTTGCTTCCAAGGTGTTCTCCCCAAGATGCAACCTCCTCCCGCAGGCTTAACGCATCTGTCCTGGGCTGCATCTTGCCCTGATGCTCTACCAATCCTGGAGCAGGCAGATGGGAAGCAGAGGAGAAAGATGATTTTTTTTTTTTTTTTTTTTAAATTAACTATTTTTTCACCCCTGCCCCCACAACACTGCACTGGCTTGGCCCACAGAAGATGAAGCATCTTCCCTGCAGTACGTGCTTCTACTGGGGCTGGGATAAGCTGCAGGGGACTTAATCAGATGGTGGGAGCGTATGTTTACAAGTGCATGGTTTTCTATGTGCATGAGTGCTAACATGCATGGTTTTGGTATGCACGTGGGCGTTCGTTACCAGTATTGGGGGAAGGGGACGCAGTTGGGCTTGGGTGTGTGTGCTTTCAGGAAATGGTGGGATCCAGAAGCTGCGATCTCTGTCTCGGCATGGATGACTTTTGGGGGAGTTCATAGGAGAGGGCCAGGGAGAGTAGTGGCTCTGCATAGCAGTGCCACACGCGTGGGACTGTTGTGTGCCTCTCTGGGTGCCTCTGCAACCCTGCGGGCTGTGCCTGTTGCAGGGTTGCTTCTTACATGTGCTGGCTATTCCTTCTTGCCATGGGGTAAAAGGGAGAGGAAAAGGGCAAAGCTCTGAGTCAGCAGTGGGTGTTGTGGGGAAACACAAAACCTGTCAAGGCACAGGATCCATCTGTCCGCTGTTAGGGTGCGAGGGAGCTCGTGGAGAAACAGGCCACGGGCAGACTCCCCCTGAGGCCAAGAGACTGGTTTGGGACCATCATGCAATCCAGAGGGCACGTGCAGCCCACACATGCAGCCTGGGCCATGCAGACAAGACCATGCAGAGGCGAGGGGATCTAGGAGGACACGAATTGCAGCTCTTTGGGCTGCTGTCTGCTCAGAGTTCGCCAGTGATGGGTAGTCCAGATCTGGCCTGTTGTTGTATTGGATTGACTCAGCTCATTGAGGAGGCAGATCCACGTCTCCACCCGTACCACCCTTCCTTCGCAGATGGCTTGACGGGGTGCCCGAAGCCTGGGCTGTGGTGGGCAAGAGGGTGAAAAACATGTTGAACTTGCTCTGTTGGCCTTGCAGTGGAAAGATTGGCTTATGTTCCAAGCAGAGAAATGAGGATCATATGGAGGAGGAGGATGAAAATGTTGGCGTAAGGAAGAGTGACCCTGACATCAGGCCAGCTGTGTTGAAGCAGGAGGGTTTCCACTGCCGTTAACTCACTCCATTAAGGGCTCCATACTCCTGTGTTGTTCAGCCCGTTCCCACCCTCGTGCCTCATTCCTATCTCCGTATCTCTCTCTTTTCCCCTCCTGTTCCCTTCTCTAGAGAAGTGAAAAACATCAACAAAAATAACTCGATTGCCTAATAAGGCTGCCACTGGAACAGAATGAAGATGAGTATCTTTTTCTGATCAAACTGACGGAGCTCATCTTAGCTCCTTCCGCTTCTCATGTGCCATAATGCCTGCTTAGAAGAACTGAAGGACATTCTTTTGTTGTTGTTTTCGTTCGTTTGTTTGTTTTTTAAATCGCTGTTCTCACTTCTGCTCTGTCTTCCCTGCAGGTAGAAAAGCCCCTTTGGGAACTGAGTGGAGGGAGAAGCTTTGATAGGCAGAAAGCTCTTCTCCCAAAGGGAACCTGTGGCTCTTCTAAGTTCAGACTTGATGCAGTAGGAGGGAGTCTTGTCACAGTCACGGCGTCCTTGTGCCAAGCAGCTGTGTGGAGGTCTTGGGTGTAGAGAGATTATCGAGAAATGGGGACCCAGCTGAGAAAGGAAGAGCCTGTGCTGAGCAAGATGAGAGCAGCAGCAGTGAGGCTGCAGCACAAGGGGAACATGCTTTCCCCAGGGGCAGCTGGAGGAGAGCAGGTGTGTTGGCTCATGGGATTCAGTAGCAGGAAAGTATGGAAGGAAGAAGCTATTTCTCATTTTCACCCTTGGAAGGGAGCCCGAGATCTACTCTCAGATCTTTGCCTTATCTCAGTGACAATAACACATGCCCAGTGCCAGGACTTGCGGAAGACAAGGGAGAAAGATCAGTCAGTCTTTGCATTGGGTGCTTTGGCATCACCAGAGCCCTGTGAAGCAGAGGCTCAAGTGCATGGTGCTGGGGCTGCACCTCATTATCTTCTACAGTGGGAGCAGTCTCTCTGATACCAGCCCTTCCCATGCATGGGCGTCCTTGGGGGTTTTTAGTGCACTGCAGGGCACGTTTTCATCACTGAGGTATGGCCCTTGTCTCTTGGGAGTTCCAGATGAGCCCACAGCTGCAATATCTGGATCTCCTATTCCTAAAGTACAGCCTGTTGTCTTCTCTGCCCTCTCTTCTATTATTGCTCCATCATTTTCCACCTCTCCCTTCTGCCCCCTTGGGCAGGAGGAGAAGGTCCTGCTGGAATAGCAGCGCTGAGGCTCTTCTGCAGGACTCTGGCCCTGTTCTCCTTCTGGGCTTACTCGCTTCCTTATTCTTAGGAAATTAAATTTCAAACAGACTTCTGTTGTGGGAGGAAGGGGCTTTACAGATGAAGTGCACTCTTTTTTTTTGTTTCTCTTCCTCAAGAATTGTTTAAATATTTTTTGATTTAAGGCCAAACCAGACAATGTTTCTGTCTAATTTGTCGATCTAACCCTGTGTTTACTATCCTTAGGAAGCTAGAGTGCTTGTCATTAAAAATCTTCCTTCTTGTCCCTGGAGGGGATGGGGACTAGCAAGCTGACTTTTGCACAGTGATTTTCCCAAGGCAGTGCCTTGCCCTCTGTCCAGCCTTGCCTGTACTGCTGTGCCGGGATCTCTGGGGACAGCCACCCTCCACAAGAGGGAACCCCAAAACCTGTGGGTGTGCAGGGTGATGAGAGAGGCAAAGGAGGAGGCAGGTTTGTATCAGATCCTTATTTCCCCATGCTGAACTCTGAGGTGAGCGTTGGGGCTCCTTGATCTTGTCTGAACCAGGTCCTGAGGTTTGAGAAGGGAAGGACTAAACAAATCTCGTCCTGCCCCTGGACTGGAACTGGGATTGGATCACCAGACCCTGATGTCTGTGAACCATGAGCAGCAAAGCCACGTGCCCGCTGCCTCTCTGGGAGCGAAGCTGTCCGGTGGAGGGAGGGAAAGCATCGCCAGCCTTTCCCTGCAGCCCTCTTCAGCTCTGTGCTGCTTCTTCCCCAAAACATTTCCACCTTCAAATTGGTGCAAAGGAGGGCCAGGTAGTAGGTGAAGCAGTGTGTAGCATCCTCAAGCCTTGCTCTTCTCTTTCTGTCTGCCCATCTCTGTTCTTGCCTTTCTTTGGGCTTCCCACATAAAAAAAGGGATTGTGTGCCCACGCATGGCTTTGGACTGGGGAATTCATCTTCCTCCTTTGCCCCAAGTGAAGGGACAGACATGGGCTTTGGTGGACCTGCAGCAGGTGAGCTTGCTAAAGCAGAGGGAACAGGGCAGGTCAGCTGTCTTTGCCCCTCTGGAGGAGGACTGGGGGTAATGCCGTACTCAAGTGATGGACAGAAAAGATGGAGTGGTTTTGTGCCTGTGTGGTTGGTATGAAGGACAACACGCTCAAGTCCACACTCACTGTTGCTTTCTCTGATCCCTGTGTCCTGCTGAAAGCTCAGGCCAGCCTGCTCTTCCTTCCTCTGTGGCTGGTAAATGAGGGGACCTTGTGGCCTCCAGGTAACATACGAGTCGGGATGGAGGGAAGAGTGTCAGAGCAGAACGGATATCTGTTCCCTTCCGCCCCCCTTGGTGTATCCTTGTGGGATTGTAGTGTCTTTTCCCCTCCCGAACATCCCCTCGGGCTCTGTCCCTGTCTCCCAGCTCCTGCCAGCAATCTCGGCGGCTGCTATGCCTCTGCACTGTGAAGACACGCATCCGGGGTCACTCCTGGTTCGATTAGTGAACACTGGTGGTGAAGAGGGAAGGGATGGCTCGTCCTGGCTTCACTGACCTCAAACCTTGGCGAGAAAGGAGGGAAGTGAGAGACTGGATCCTGAATCCCTCCATCGTTGTGTTCTCCCCACCCCCCAAAAAAACCCTCCCTTCTGGTTTCTGGGATATTGGACAAACTCGCTCTTATTATGGAAAGAGAGGGGGAGCTGGAGGTAATGGGGTGACAGGAGAGAGAGCTGTTTCTAATGCAATACACTGATATTTAAAGCTTTGGGGACTACAAATAATGGATTAAGAAGGGATCTGAAATACTCTGAGACTAAGGATTCAAACCACTGTTTTTTTCCTTCTTGTGCGGATGATGATGTGGTATCATCCTGGAGGTGGTCCATCAGCACTTCCAAGCCTGGGGTCCACCTGGACCTACTGGTGGTGTTTCCCCTGGGGTGGGCCCAGAACACCCTGCTTTGGCAAAAGAATGCGTGGACTTGCCAAA